TCTGCGGTGCGAATGTGTTCCGCAGGGGGTGGCTGTCTATCTCGAGGAGGATTTCTTCGTATAACTGGTTCTGACTCCTCACTGTCATCATCATCACCATCATCGTCGTCATCGTCGTCGTCGTCGTCGTCTTTAGGAGAAGATACATTTTGTTGATGAGGAACTGATGACGATGTAGCACCTCCATAGAATAAGGACCCTGGAGGTATATGACTAACTAACCCACCGCTCATAGAAAACTAGGAAAACTCAGAAAATATAGACATCGATGAGTGAGAAAACTGTACAGGAAATGTCTGTGCGGCGGTCATTGGTGATGAGGCTGCCCCCGCCAAATAACTAGCATATAAACCCCCAAGTCGGATCTGCAAACATAGAACCATACTATCATCTAGGAGGGGTCATATAACTCTGTGACGGTGGCGGTGGTGGTATCTGGTAAGAGAAAGGCAGTGGCGGCATCAGATATGGCTGCGGGGTCTACATCGTTACAGACAGTGGTTGCTGTGAAGGTTCCGGTGGTGCAGCTGACGACAAACCGGAAGCACCTGCTCTCTGTCCATGAGTCGGGGGTCGATGGGGTTGTGACAGTGCACGTCTCTATCGACATCGATGAATGCTCCGTCCTCGTGCATCCTCGAAAAGTAGAAACGATTTCACGTTACTGTTAAATCACTCATAATAACCATCTGCAAACGTCAAATGGTCAACATCAATGAGGTCTCTATGGGGAATGCGCCGATGTCGATCCTCCCACATCATGACCCACTCATAATGCTTCACCAGCCAATCTATATCCATCTTGCCGCATCAATCTGTGTTATGCTATTGATCCATATTTTGAGGTGCTTCCGGAATTAGTTGTACAAAACCAAGTTGTCGGAGCACGCGATCAGTGGGGTGCCACTCGACAATCGTATAACAGATCAGAGGGACCACCGCCATCCAAACATCTGATGGGCCCCTTAACTCAGGTGGGATGCACATCCTCATATCATCATTACAATAAGGAACCCATTCAAACTAAAACAAATATATATAATTCTTATCAAAATAATAATCTAATTATATGACTATAATACAAAATAGATTTTCAAACATTAAAATACATACATCTGTACCAGCCTTTTGATCTATTAGTAGCCTGATTATTTCTAATTCATCAGGTAGATCCTGATAATTTTTACTGTTAATAGACCACCTATTCAAGGAAATAATTTTTATTATACACTGGATAAAATGATTAATATACTAAATCAGTTTTGTAATTACCTCAATAGTAGCGGAAATACGAACGAGTTCTTCACAACATGACATAAAAAGGGCAAGCGATACCATGCCCAAGACTGCAGCAGAAGGAGATATCCGCCGATATCATTTTTCCTGTAGTCAGTCGCTCGACACATCTCCCTATACAGGAATGCCAAAACTGTCGAGCCCCAACTCAGTGATCTGGCCAGATGAAAATTGCCAAAATTCCATAACCACATACAGTGAATTTGGTTGTGCGATTTGTCTGGCATCAACAACCCTCCTATCAGATGCAGTATGCATGCCCGTGCATACTTTTTAACTTGATCCTCTAAGGCGTCCTCACTCAAATTTTAAAAATTTACATATAACCAATTTAACGGTATCCGACCACTGTTAAAATTTTGCAGGACACCTCCTAGATAATCTTGGCACAAAGTAGTCCAGTTACCGTGTGCCATCCCTGAAATCACATCTCCATCCACCAAAAGCCCCAAGTGCATGGAAACATCCTCAAGCGTAATCGTGCACTCTCCTCACAGAAGATGGATTGTGTGAGTCTCCAGCCTCCACCGCTTCATTAATGCAAAAATCAGGTTTGGTTCTATCCTGTAATAGCCTTCATATCTAGCTATGTGACCGAATCCAGCCTCGACTAAATACGGCCAGACACATGTCGATATCACTAACTTAAGGTTCCAGATAAAATGATCTAATATACAGTCGCTCTCCTAAAAATACTAATAATTACAAAAATTAATTTATAAACTAATAATCATGCATTAAATAAATAAATTATTACTAATAATTTAAATTAAATTATAATGTAAAAATGTTACCGTATCAGTAAAATATCGAGATATATGATTTCCATCCAAACGAAGCAGACCGCCTTCCATTTTATAACTGCAAAAAAATTAATTAAATAAAATATTAAAAAAATTAAATAATTAAATAAAATACTAAAAAAATATTAAATATAATAAAATATACCTTAAAGAGCTATGAGAGAATTTAATAGTATTTGAGAGAAGTTGAGAGGATTTGAATTTGGTGTGATAAAAATGATTGAGAATGGAGATATTTATAGGGAGGGATGGGGGTGTGAACGGGCGGGGGCGGGGGATTTAAGGCGAAGGCGCGACCTATGCACCGCGCCATTCTGACGCGTGTCAGAGTGTCATGAAGACGCGACCCATGCACTGCACCATACCCCTACGTGGCAGAAGGCGCAACCCATGCACCGCGCCTTACCTAGCGTGTCGCCATGTCATCATAAGGCGCGGTGCATGGGCTGCACCTTACCCCACGTGACGCCACATCAGTGTAAGGTGCGATGCATGGGCCGCGCTTTTCTGCAAAAGGTGTTAGATCGAGAAATAAAGATAGAAGGGTGACTGACAGAGAAATAAAGATGGAAGGGTGCCTGACAGGGAAATAAAGATGGAAGGGTGCCTAAAAGGTAAATAAAGAGGGAAATGGTGATTTATTGGGAAAATCGCCGATTTCTTTCATACGTTCTGCTAATTACTATGGAAATAATGTGTGAATAAATATAATTAAGCTCATATTGTCTTAAATATTATAATAGTTATTATATTAGCATAGTTAAAACTCGATTTACTATAATATATAAATTTATCTATTAAAACTTTCATTGAAAATTTTATATTAAATAAATATTAACATGAATAACCAATACACTCAAAAAATAAAATTTTATTTTTCAATGTAAGGAAAATTTTCCATTGTTTAACACACTCTCTCTATAAGTGAATTTATATATGATAATGATATAAAAAATAGAAACAATAAAATAAATACAATATGAATAATTATAATATCAGAATATACCTAAGATAAATTATTTATATATAATATTTTATTAAATTTATTACAATTTAAAAACATAAAAATTAGAATAAATGAACTAAGTCGTTTTAGTGTTTTGGAACTATTGCTATCCCTTGAGGTTTTAAGTTCGAGCATGACATCTGTAAAAATATGTAAAAATATATAAGCATTTATTATTAAATGATTAACAGTTTTTTGAACATATATTATCTTATACTCACTCTAATCTAAAAAGAAAAGAAAGTAAAAAAACATTTCATAATTTTTCTTTTTATCATTTCCCCTTCTCTTACCTTCTTTTTCTTCCCTCATTTAAACACATCAACTTTTTGTTGGGGGAGGGTGGGTAGGGCATAACATCTATGGTAATAAGTGCATCTTCCTTTGACTATGTAATATAATAGATTTAAAATAAATTAATTTTGTCAGTACGCCCAAAAACGAAAACATTATACCTTTAAAAGGTAGGTTTAACGGGATGAATCGTTTATATCTTTAAAATTTTTAAAATTTTATATAATTTAAATATATTTTTATTAATAATCTAACTTTATATCCTTAAAATTATATAATTTTACATCATAATATATATTTTTTGAAAAGTTTTCAATATAATCCTAATTCTACCTAGAGAAAAGAGGAAGGAGATAATTTTAAAAGAAAGGGGAATGCTTCTGGTTGATCTACATCTCAATATTTTAAATAGCCTTTTGTACATTGATATAAAATCATACGTTTATGTTTGATGCATTATATTATAGTTATTAAAAATAGTGATAAAAATTTAGATAATTTATATCAATGACTACTTAACTATTGTCTCTTTTCATTTTAATCATTGATTTTTTAATTTTGTCAATCAGACCATTTAACTATTTAAATGATGTTAATCAATCTCCTTACCATTAACATTAAATGATGTTAATTACACGTTAATCAAACCCCTTATCAATTTGGTCCTAATTTTAATATAGTTCAATAAATTTAATTCTATAATCAGATGGTGACTCGTGTCATCATTTGATTAAAATATTTTTATAATTTAATTATTTTCTCTTTTACTTAGATGATGACACAAGTCATCATTTGGTTGGAAGAAAAACATGTTACAAGGAGTGTGAGGATTAACATGAAACCACACTAATAGTTTGAGGATTAATATAAAATGCTTTAAAGTTTAGGGATCAATTGAAAATATGAATCATAATTGGGGGATTTATATATAATATTTTAAAGTTTAGAGACTAATTTAAAATGTGAGTCATAGTTTAGGGACATCATATACAATTAATTATTTAAAAATTATTCAAAACTGATGAAAGACTAAGGGGTTGTTTGATAAAATAAAATGATTAAGCGCTGAATGATTCAATTGCCTGAATGATTCAAAGACTCTGTATGAATTGGCTCTGAATGTGACATGTTGTTTGATAATAGTTCTGAATGTACAATCTGAATTATGAATATTTTCATTTTTACATTCATAAAGATTTATTATATTATAATATATGATTGTTTAACAAGACAACAAGTGAAAAATAAGTATTATGGTAAAATACCGGGTGCTTAATGATTCAGAATGTACTTTAATGTTGAATCATTCAACAGTGTTTTGTTGTTTCATTCAGTATAGTCTTCATTCAGATGTGAGAATCAAACACGTTGAATGTTGAATGGTTCAGCATTCAACAGTAAACAAACGGCCCCTAAGAAAGAAGAAAACACCCGGTAATAATACAAATTATCATTTAAAAAAAGATTATAGATTATACAAAGTTGGTACTTAACCTATGACACCTAACCGATTAGTTTTTTTGTAATATATATTTATAATAAGGTATTATTTAAACTATTTCACGTATAATGTGTTCATATTACATAGATGTAATATGGTGCTGATGTTACATCTAGAGTTGATAAAGATGATGAGGAAGGCGAGGTGTGAGGACAAGTTGAAGAGGAGTTGCCTTGGTCATGGTTGCACTTGCACTTTGGTCTTCCGTCATGTCAACGGGAGCATTTAAGGGTGTTTTTAAGTCAAACCCTTGAAGCAACCGAGCCATAGTCAAGCGTATAGCTTGCAACGCCCAATTCGTCCCCGGGCAAGATCGTCTACCAGATCCGAATGACACCAGCTCAAAGTTTTGCCCCAAAACATCCACGTTTTCATGGTTGGTGAGAAACCGTTCCGGTTCAAACTCCTCGGGATTAGACCAAATCCGTGGGTCTCGATGCAACTTCCATGCATTCACAAACAAACGAGTGCCCTTGGGAATGCGGTAGCCGCCCACACAACAATCTTCCATGGGGACATGAGGGATTAACAGTGGTGCAGGTGGATAGAGACGAAGTGTTTCCTTAATAATGGCTTGCAGATAGACTAATTCCTCCATATCAGATTCTTCCGCCCATCTGCGTCGACCAATTTTGAGGTCCAGCTCTTGTTGAGCTCGCTTTAAGGCGTGTCTATTGTTCATCAAGTTGGACAACATCCAAGTCATTGCAATGGCTGTGGTTTCAATCCCTGCTGCGATTAGCATCTAGAATATGTAAAAAGATAAGCCCAGATCAGGATCATTGAACTATATGTACCAACGAAGACTAAAAGATTGCAAAAACATATGGTATATATATATACAGTTATTGTAGCCTTGATAATATTTTCGCGTCTATGGCCATATATGGACTCATCGTCATCCTTTATCTTCGACAGCATCACATGGATGAAATTTTGGTCGTCGTCGTTGTTGTTTGCGGTTGTTTTAGGGTTCTTTAATTTATGTTCATCAATCCAAGTTTCGATAAGAGATTCCATCTCCGTTGAAATACGCTTCATGGATTTCACTTGGCTGCTCCATTTATCCATCCATTTTAGAAACGGAACCACTTCCGAAACTGTTGTAACAGTGGCAACCACCGAAGAAAATTCTTTGATAAACTTGATGACGCGTTGTGCTTCTTCATCGGCTTCACCGTCAGGAGCCGACGAATATCTTTTCCCTGCAATCATTCTTACCATCATGTTTACGATCAAAGCTTCAAGCCGTTGACTCATCGAGATCTTCTGGTTTGGAACCTGCTCATTTTTATTGGCAAACAAGTACAAGTGTTTTATAAATGCATTCACCTCCGAGACTTGTACATGCTTTAATAACCCTATCTTATGGACCGAGAGGAGTTCAACCACGACTAGCTTACGAATCTCACGCCAATACGGTCCATAAGAAGCAAACCCAAAGCTTGCTTCGTCGTAACCGAGGTAAGTTCCTGCATTTGACATCGGACGATTGGCGAAGACCCTATCGTTAACGGTGAAGCAGTCTCTAACTGCTTCCCGGCTGCTGATGATAAGGGCTCGGAATCTGCCGAGTCGGATTGTGAAGACCGGTCCATATTTATCCGCTATGGCCGCAAGGGTTCGGGCACCTGTTCGTTGGGTATGAAGCAGGTGAAGGTGGCCTATGAACGGTAACGCACCTGACGGTTCTGGGGCAAGTAATCCGCCGCCAGCACTGTTGTACTGCCGGTAAGTCCTTCGCCTCCACAGATTGTACAACATGAACAGTGCTAAAAGACCTGCAAAAATTGGTGGTGAACGACATAATAAATCCATGATCATCTTGATAAAGACTAAGTAACCTAACTTCAATTCGTTGGTGGATTTGTAATTTTATTAGGATAGAACGTATAACGTGGTGCTTTTTTTTTGGGGGGGGGGGGTATTGTTGTAGGAGTAAGCAAGGCAAATTCCTGACCAGAATGAGAGGAAATAATTATTTGTAAGATTACTCGTAAACTTTTTTTATTGTCTTAATCTGATTTATAACACGGAATGAATCTTCAATTTATATGGAATATAAAATGGGGGATTTTACTAACACAACGGCCTGTTTTTTCTTCTCTAAATGACTGGCAAACAATACCACACAAGTAGCTTCCATAGCTAGTATTTGTTGTAGATATGTTAAATGAATCACGTATTTACACACACACCCTATGCTTAAAATTTAACCATCTCCTAGTGATTCTACTCATCCTAGTTTTAGGAACTCTTCACACGCATTGGGGATTTGGTTTTGCATGGTTAGTTTCGTAAGATCAACTGCGAGGGTAGTCGGTAATTACCCGACGCTTTAGGGGACAAGTCAAAATCACCAATGGTGATAGAACAAGTGGACATCGAAGGGACTGTAGAAATCGAAAAAGGCTCGACTAGCGGAAATGAAATAACGATGGATATGTCGTTAAACCCCAATCCAAAGGATGGTAATCAAACTGAAGGACGGGAAGGCAAACCATCTTATGCGGCTATGGTGATAACCACAAATCAAGGTAACAATCCATCCAAAAGTTTTAATCAAGGTAACGGTTTATGAAACTTTAATTTAAGTTCTTTACTATTTTTTTGTTTATGGTGATAATTGCATTAAGGGGTCTAAAAGGTGCATGTTAAAAGGGCTTCAACGGTCGACAAATGCGACGATCGACGACTGTAGACACGACGATCGATGGATGTGACGTTCAAGACGCGACAGTCGGCAAGTTCATCCGTTAAGTTTTTAACAACGGGTACTAAAATAAAATAAAAATTAAATATTAGATATTATTTGACAAAAAAATAGATATTAAAACGAATAAAACTGGTAGTTTAGGTATTAAAGACTTATTTTACCTTAAAAATTAATCTTGGATGGAGTACTATTTATTATTTAGAGAAATAGCTATAATTGTAACTTTTAAAATTTCTCCATAATGTCTAGAAAGAGGTGATCTAGCTTGTAACAGTTTAGGCGAATATAAGAAGCTTGATTCACTTTAATTTTTAGGTTAAGGGTGTCCACCACCATTATATGTGTCCACCACCTATACTATGGCATGTTTATAATAATGATGGTTATCAAAATCGGACCGGCCAGTTCAACCGGTTGAATCGTGAACCGGTGGCCTGTCCGATCCGGTTACCTCTCAAAACCGATCTGACAATGAACCGGATGAAAACCGGTAAAACCGGGATGAACCGGCTGAAAACCGACAAAACCGATTTGAACCGCCGGTTCACTTTTTTCTTTTAAAAAAAATTAAACCAAACGACATTGTTTGTTCAACGAGCCGAGTCAAATTCGAGTATTGCTGAGCTTGACTTGAACTCGAAAACTTTACAAGTAAGCTCAACTCGACTCAAAAACTCACAAGCTAAAAATTATCAAGTTCAACTTGAACTCGAAATATAATATTAAAACTTGAACTCGAAAAGGCTCGAAATCAAAAAAAAAAAATTAGAAGTTCGATTGAAGTCTAAAATTTGAGCTCAATTGTCGCTCTGTGCTCACCAAAAGGCTCCATGATTTTGAATGTCAAATTACCTCTATTATTTATAGAAGTAAGTTGGGATGCTCTTCTATATTTCTTAATCATGTGAGATTGTTTTGTTCTCATATTTTTACTCTTTAGACTTTTGGGATGCTCTTCTATGTTTCTTAGCCATGTGAGATTATTTAAAAAAAAAATTAAACCAAATGACATCATTTGTTATGATTTTTTAAGCCTCAATTTTATTTTTTGATTATAGTTATATAATTATATTTATTATTAATATGTTTTACTTAAATATTATGTTGTAGTTGATTTGAATCATTTTGTTTCACTTGATTTTATAGTTTTTAATTTATATATGTTATACTTGTGATATTTTTATACCTTTTAATATTGTAAACTTAAAAAAAGTGTTACATATATATTAGTATTGCTTTGAATATTATGTAAAATTAAAAAAAAATTATATAAAATCCGGTTCAATCGCGGTTAAACCAGTGAACCAATACCTTTACCGATTTAATATCCGGACCGATTTTAAAAACATCGATAATAATTAACCTGCGAAATGATGAAAATCATTATCTTCATTTATTTTCCATTCTAATGTTCTTTTATTTTATTTTTCGTGTAAAAATAAGTCGACATATGTTTGATATTTTTTATTTTTAATAATATTTTATTAGTTTTGATAAATTTATTTTATTTAATTTATCTCTTTCTTTCTTAATTATACCTTTTATCTATAATTAAGAGTGGATCTAATTAAATTTGATTTTTTAAAATGTTAAACAGTTTATGAAAATTTAATTTAAGTTCTTTACTTTTTTTTAGTTTTGGATTTTAAATTTTTAAAAAATTATTTTCAGAAAAATAACTTTAGTTATAATTTTTGGACATTATGTGATAAAATTTTAATGTTTTCCATAAATGTTTTTAAAATATAACTAGCAATTTTTATAGAGTATGTTTTAATTGTTTTTCATTGATTTTAAAAACTAAATATTTTTTGTATGATTTATATTTCATAAATAAATGTGAGAGTATTTGGTTCAAATAATTTTTTTAGCATTATGATCCATTTATACAATGTAATTTTATTAGTTTTACATAGATTTAAGATTGTTGGATAAAAAGAAGACGACTGAAATTAACTTTTTATTTTTCCAGTGAATATCTTCTCATTTTTTACTATTAATTTTAGTCGTTTATTTTCACTCATCTAATGATCCTAAATAAATGTAAAACTAGCAAGTTTTACATTGTATAATTGGATCCTATCCCCTACTATAAAAATAAATTAACATGTTACATAATAATTATTGATAACTTTTTATTTAATTAAAAAATAATTGTTTTAACAATATTTATGAAAAAATTGACACTTTTCCACAAAATATCTGAAAAAATATAAACTAAAGCTACTTCTATAAGAATATATTTTTAAAAAATAAATTATACAATTAAAATGAAAAAGAAGGAGAAATAAAGTTAGGAGAAACTAATTATCATAAATAATTGAATTTTTTTAGAAGATTAAAACTTAATTAAAAGAGATAGTTTAGATAAAAGATAAACCAAATAAAATGAATTCACTAAAATTAACGTTACATAATTTAAAATTTTAAAAACTATTAAACAGATGTTGACTTTGTTTAAAAAAAAGTAAAAGAACAACAAATGAAAAATAAAGATAATAAATATAATAATAATAAATTTCCTTTAATTTACTAATAAATTACGTTTAATTTACTAATAAATTACCTTTAATTTACTAATAAATTAATACATGTGTCACAGAGTAAGTAGTGGGGCACATATAGGGAAATGAGAATTGTATTCATTTATAACAGGGTATGACTCTTCAAATGTAAAACGGGGGGTTTTACTAACAGAACGGCCTGTCATTTCACTTCTAAACGATTGACAGACTACTCTCTCGCACAAGTAGCTTCTTCCACAGGTGGTATTTGTGGTAGACATTTTAAAAGAACCACATATTTTATTTGTTATTTTTTTAAGGTAATGTATGTAGTACTTAAATTATTAAAGGGTAAATTACACGTATTATCACTGTATTTTGCGTTATTTCTTATTTCACTCACTGTACTTTAAATCCGTTCAATTTCCTCACTGATCTTTATACATTTAGCATTTTTGGTCACTAAGCTTAATAAAATAAGTTTTTGGGTCACAGATCTGTTACCCCTGACTAACAGAATGCTAACGTCGATAGAGTGATGATAGAGAGATGGCGGAAGCATGATGATAGAGCGACGACGAAGGGACACTACCACATGGGTTTTGGTCGAAACTGGACAAGAAACTCATTGGTGAAGGCGATGAGGTGCAATGATGACTGAATCGATTGAAAATCGCAAAAATCAACAACGACGTCGTTATGGGTTTTTAACGAACTTCAATCAGTCATCGACGACGAACAGTGACATTTCACAGAGCAGGGTCGATAAGGTTTTACCGGAGCACGAAGACGCGTCCGATGCCATAGGCGGTGACACTCACCGAAAAACAGTGACTGAGATCAACGGTGAAGGGTATCGAGCAACTTTTTCACAATTTGTGATGTTTTGACGATCAATTTTGGATAGATGGTAGTTGGGGTTTACTTGGGAGGTGATACCGGGACTGTTGGTTGCTGTTTTGCAAGCTACCGTTGGCCAAAGACGATGGACCGAAAGAGAGATGGGTTTTTGGAAATGAAAGGGAAAGAGAGTTAACGCCGTTTGTGGGGGAAAACGACTAAGTGACCAAATTTGTCAATTATATTAAATTCAGTGATGAAATTGACCAGTTTTAAAGTACAGTGAGTGAAATAGGAAATAAAGTGAAGCAAAGTGATCATTCGTGTACTTTAACCCAATTATTAAATTTGGTTCATTTTAATATTTTAATATTTATTTTTTAACATCATACCTCAAGTTTAGTTTTTATTTCATTTTATTACATTTGTTCAAAATTTAACATTAAATTTTGAAAAAATTTAATATTTATGTACCAAAACATACCAAAATTGATAATTTAAGTACTAAGTGTGTTACGTTTTTAACGATGAGTACTAAAATGAAACAAAAACTAAACATTAAGTAATGTTTTGGAAATTTTTTTGAATATAAAAAAATCAAAAGTGATAATTTAGGTACTAAATACGTAGTTTACCCTATTTTTTTATTTTGATTTAAAAATAAACATTATTTACTGGACTTATGAGAGAGAGAAAAGGTGATATCGCATGTAAGAGTTTAGGCTTAGTCTAACTCAAATTAAATCGGTTCATTTATC